CTTATGAAACTAGAATTTTTGGCTGCAAAACAAAAACTTTTGCTCTCAAAAAAAAAGCTTTGGTCTCGGAACAAAAACTTTTGCAATCCGAGTTTGTACGTAGTGGGCGTACAAACGTACAAACCAGGAGTTTCTATTGGTCTATTTCTTACCTGTAGGGCCGTTTATCATTTCTGATTGTTTTGGTGTGAGTTGTTGTGTGTTGTAAGTAGGGCTGTCGATTATCGATAAAAAAAAAGTAATTAATCGCATTTTGAAGTTCATTAATCTTGATAAATGGCGATTAATGTTGTTTTTACAATGTTGTTTTTAATAAATGTTTGTTTTTCTTCTAAAGACTAAATCATAACAGTAATGAGTTCTCACTTTAGAAAGCATGTATGTTACACACTATTGTTTAATTGTTAATGTTATTTAAACACAAAACTACACAATTGATCATCTTGGAGGCAGAATTCCACCGGGTGGAACATGTTGAACTAGTGACTAGACAGAAGTCTAAAGGTGCTGCTTATTTTTGGTAATAACAGTTGGGCTGTAGTATATAAAATTAAATGTTGTATTTTGTGGAATGCTGGTAATATACATATCACTTACCAGTGTTAACATTTAAAAAATGTATTCTTAATTGTTGAAATTAAGAATACATTCTTTGCACAGTGTCTGTATCTTTACTAAAATGGTATTTGCTTGCTATAGAGCTATAGAAATAATACAGATTAGAATAAATATATTAGAGAAGTTATGCAGTCCTGCTGTCCTTGTGCACTTTGCTCTCAACTCTCCATCATTTAGCGGCTGTGTTTGAAGTGCCAACAATGTCCCCACATCTAGCAGAACGTTTTCAAACCACGCTCTGTTAGGGACACAGTGGTGGTCCTCTGCAGACTGTGTGCCGCGCAGGGTGACCTTAGATGTTGAGATGGAAGTAGCCTGGCAGCTAGCTTAGCATAGTGGTGCTTTAAGTGGTCCGTTTGCTACTTACCCCCTTCTGTTGGACAGTAGTTCCTCTGCACAGTTCTCCGCTGTATGTCGTGCCTCTGTATGTTTTACTTTGAATGCAAAAAGCTCTCTCCAACTTGATGTAACTGACAGCAGCTAGCAATCGATTTGTTTCCGTGGTCAACCTCCGGCCCCGTAAGTAAACAAACTTAATTACACTAAAATGTTTTGTTGCATTAATCTTGGCCACATTAATCGCATAGATTAATGCGTTTATGTTGACAGCACACATATATCTGCCGTGTATGAACCGTGTGAAGTGTATGCTCATGAAATTATTCAGTCCAACACGCTCTGGGTTTTCCTCAAACTTTTTATCTCACTTCACTCACAGCAACCCCCGAGTCTCTCCGGACCACCTCTTCTTCTCCTCCACCCTTTCCTCTCACCTCCAGATGGCCGAACAGCGCCCACTAGCGTTCAGAATGAACTCTTACACCACTATTGTTTTGCCTCAAGGCCGTTCCACAGAGACTGCTCTCCTTGCTGTCTCAGAGCAACTCCACACTGCTAGAGCCGCCTCGCTCTCCTCTGTCCTCATCCTTCTGGACCTCTCTGCTGCATCAGTCAACCACCAGATCCTTATCTCCTCCCTTCAGGAACTTGGTGTCTCAGGCTCTGCTCTCTCCCTTCTCTCGTCCGAACCTACCGGGTAACCTGGAGAGGATCTGTGTCGGAACCTTGTCCTCTTACTACTGGAGTTCCTCAGGGTTCCATCTTGGGTCTCGCTCTACACCAACTCTCTCGGCGCTGTCATTCGCTCGCATGGCTTCTCTTACCACAGCTATGCCGATGACACCCAACTAATTCTCTCCTTTCCTCACTCGGACACCCAGGTGGCGGCATCTCTGCCTGTCTGACTGACATCTCCCAGTGGATGTGAGCCCACCACCTGAAAATCAACCCCGACAAGACTGAACTATTTCTCTTTCCAGGAAAAGATTCTCCGACCCAGGACTTGACTGTCAACTTTGGCAACTCCGTGTTAACGCCCACTTTACCCTTTAACCTAAGAACCTCGGCGTCACAATCGACAGCCAACTCTCCCTGCCTCCCAACATTACTGCGACAATACGATCCTGTAGATACTCTCTCTACAACATCAGGAGAACACGTCCTCTTCTCACTCAGAAGGCTGCCCAGGTACTGATTCAGGCTCTTGTCATCTCCCGCCTGGACTACTATAACTCCCTCCTGCAGGTCTCCTGCTACCGTCATTCCACCTCTGCAGCTCATTCAGAATGCAGCAGCTCGACTGGTCTTTAACCTTCCGAAATTCTCCCACACTACTCCACTCCTCCGCTCTCTTCACTGGTACCGGTGGCTCATCCAGTTCAGAACACTGGTGCTCACGTACCATGCAGTGAATGGATGGGGTCCAGCTTACATCAGGACATGGTGAAACCCTACATCCCGACCCGCACTCTCTGCTCTGCATCTGATAAACTGCTTGTTCGTCCTCACTGAGAGCAAAACACTCGACTAGATCACAACTCTTTGCTGTCCTGCTCTGAAAGGGTGGAACGAGCTCTGAAGACATCAGGACCACAGAGAGCCTTCACATCTTCCGCCACAAACTAAAAACAATCAACCTGATCCCCAGAGCATGTCTTTGGACTGTGGGAGGAAGCCGGAGAACCCGGGGAGAACCCACGCAGACACGGGGGGAACATGCAGACTCCACACAGAAAGGCCACTGAGCAGAATCAAACCCAGGACCTTCTTGCTGTGAGGCGACAGTGCTAACCACCACGCCACCGTGCCGCCCATCTATAGCAAATTGTAAATTGGCTTATTTGAGGAAATTGCACTTTCTTGTTTCTTGTTCTTCTGAGTTTGTACCCTATGGTTGAATGCACTTATTGTACGTCGCTTTGGATAAAAGCATCAGCTAAATGACATGTAATGTTTACCTGGAGGGGGCCGGAGGGGGTGCTCCACCCACTCAATACCTACTGAAAGGCCGTGTGAGAGCGGTTATAGCTGAGCTACCCACAGGGTTCGCTCACGTGCACTAACACTCACTAAGAGCTAGGCTCCGCTGGTCCAGCTATGGAAACAAAGCACAGACAGTTAATGTTAGATTGTTTTATGAATAAATCTGCAAAGAAACAAGTAAGTCAAGTTGTCAAATAAATACCGTGTACAGTCCTGGCTTATAAATGTAGTTAAGTAGAATAAATGATCAACAACTTACCGCATTGCCATCAGCACACATTTCCTTTGTGCTGTCATGGCCCTGCATGGCATCATGTAGGCTCTCAACGTGCACGACCTCCTAGGACACCTAAATGGAGCAGAGTTGCCATCTGTTTAAATCGTGAATGTCAACTCAGGGGGGACACATAGTAGCTAGTGTCGAGGCAACCTATGAGGAAAATATGGCAGATACCCGTTCAGACGCAGTATCTCGTGTCCAGATGTATCCATCCTGTATCCATCCTCCGTTTTACAGTATTGTAACTGCCAGTTAATAATGTGAATTTCACAGTACCTTTCTTTTTACCAAAGTCTCTTGATTGTGCTGTTAGCATCGTTAGCTTCCAGCTGCCGGCTAAAGACATTGCTATGCTGAGAACAGCACAGAACTCAAACATCCAGGAAGAGGGCTGTGTCAACAACTCACAGAGTAACGATTTCTGTGTCTCTCTGAGATGCCAGTGGACTCAAAAATACTGTTTGGACCAGGTAATTAATGGCTTTCATGCTGTTGTTAATCTGCCCTTCATGAGACTCTATTGGGATCTGTCTTTTTTCTAGCTGTGATATGTGATTCTTGAAACTTGTGGTGGCATTTGCCACTCTTGACGTGTACCCTAAACCAACCACAGGAAATGACCTTCACAGGAAGATACATTTTCCGTCTTGCCCCACAAAAAAGACGTTGACAGAAAATTGCATAAATCTTTCTTTAGAGTGTTATTGTGTGATGATCGAAATAGTTTATCAATAGCGTGAAATTAAGTTTTATCTGCCTTTAGTTAGAGGTTTCCATGAGCGGTCGTACTTATCCTGAGGGCAAAGACTAGTGTTAACGGGGTTCTGGTGTAGCTGAAATCTGGGCCACCACCTTCCCTTCTGTTCTCTGATCGTTGTTAACAAATTAGCCACTTTGCGCTTGTGTGAAAGGGTATGGAGGTTCCGGTCGGGGCCTCAGCCAATTGCTGAGATGAATGCGTTGATGACCTTTGGACGTGACGTATGATTTGTTAAGAATAACAACCTTTGGTTTTGATAGAACTGTATAGTCAGACTTAATGTGCTGACAAACCTTGTTCCGGCAGTGGGGGGCTTCCAGAGAGTAAAAGTTGCACACGATAATTGGATTTGGAGTGTAGAGGTAACAAGCAGCCAGTTAAACTGAAAAACCTTCTCCCCATGCCAACAGATTCAGCCAAGGCAAGAGGACAAGATTTTGCTATGGTCATTGGTTTAGTAATATCATTAATGTTAAGCTGTTAAGGAAATGCGCTATTTTAGCAATTGAACTTGATCAGGAAATGTGACAGAACCAAAACAATCTGATATACAAAAGGTGGACAAGTGTATTGAGTAGATGTGTAGAGAAGAATCTCATCCTTTGTTCTTTTCCTAAATGAGTGGAATTGCTTTATCCTACACAGAAAAACAAGAAAACGTTGTGTCCCAATAACACATCGAATCCTCCAGTTATATTTTTAAAAGGACCCCTTATGAGTCGGTTTGAAATCACTAAACATACAAGCCAGTGTTGTCCCATAATTCATGGAGCTGTGAGGTAATACTCACGTTGTTGTAGGCCATAGACAGTGTCTTATTTTGTCTTTTTCACATTAATCTCACTGACCCAGCAGTGAAGAAGGAGAATACACAAAAAAGTGTATATGTATATATTAACAAATATATCTAGATGATTTTATGGGATTCTTCAAAAACCAAGAGTTTGTATAACATTTAAAAACATTAAAGATCTTTTCTTGAAAAATATTTATTTATTTTTCTGCAAAAGTACAGATGAAACAGAGAGAATGTGGATATAGAATTTCTATTGAAAGTCACATGCTAATTAATATCTAGGTTTCAACAATATTACAGTATTTTAGATTGAAGGTAAATTGCTAATGCCAGCTGAGAATTCAGAAGTTTCAAATACCCCACGTCTTATGTACAGCAAGAAGCAAAGTAATACAACAAAGAACACAAGATCTTCGGTAATGATCATTGCCAGCGGCCTGTACCGCTGCAGCGTCACGCACTGAATGATCTCATGTTGTTGGAGCCGTCTGAAGACACGCGGCCTGAGATGCAAGTATCGGACGTTGCGCGTGACGAGCGAGCTGTGCTGGTGTGCTTTTTGCTGAAGCACCACAAGTCCAATATTATTTGCTGGAAGTGGGTCCTGAACTTCACCCCAACGAAGGCGTAGAGGACGGGATTGAGACAGCAGTGGAAGTAGGCGACGCTCTTGGAGACGGCTAGCACTCGGAGTCTGATCTTCTCTGACGCGCAGGTCCTCACCTTGAAAAGAGACAGAGTGTGGTTCAGCAGCGTGGCGTTGTAGGGCAGGTGGCACACGACGAAAACCGCAACGACTGCCATGACCACGCGGATGGCCTTGTGCCTCTGGCTGCTCCTGGCTCTCAACAAGGTGCACACGATGCTGGTGTAGCAGAACATCATCACCAGCAGGGGCAGCAGGAAGCCAATGGCCATTTGAAGGCTGGGAACCGCCACCTTCATTAGCTTCGCCGTTCCTGTCTCCTTGAATGACAGCTGACACGTGGCCTGGGGGTCTTCGCTGCGCTCGCTGTAGAGAAGTGTGGGCACAGTTAAAGCCACTGCGAACGCCCAAACGGCCGAGCAGATAAGACGGCTGTAGAGCAGAGTGCGCGGGCGTGCGCCGAAGGACTTTCTGGCCTGGACTATAGCGACGTAGCGGTCGCCGCTAACACACGCCAGCAGGAGCATGCCACTGTAGAGGTTGATACTGTAGGCTGACCTCAGCATCTTGCAAGCCACGGAGCCCATTAACCAGCCGTGCTGCTCGTTGTAGATGAGAAATGGCAGGGCGACGACAAAGATCAGGTCCGCCACAGCTACGTTATAGAGATAGACGTCCGTCATGGTCTTGCTCTTCTTGTAGCGTATGTAGGTGATGATCACCAGAGTGTTGCCGATTAGGCCGAGGGCACAGATGATGGAGTGGATGTACGTTTGTGCGATGATTTCCATGGGGTTGGGGTCAAGGTTGCAGGGTTCTTCACCGCCGGGTTCTTCACTGTAATAGGAATAGTCTAGAGCCTGTGACGTCATGTTTTGGATCTGGAGGAACATTTACACAAAAAGGCCAACAGTTAGGGGAATGCAAATGGAAAATAACATTTTCTTTTACTTTCTACCAAGTACATTTCCTTAGGAGTGTCATTTTAATACTGTATTTATTCTCAAACAAATCTGTAAAACTTGAAAAAAAAGGTTGTTCCAAAATAGATGGAAAGACGGTATCAGCACATGGCGTGTCACATCCTCCTGCAATGACTGGTAACACTCCCATCACGTCACAGCGCTCATGTCTGTACACAGGATGAAGGCTGTTCTAGTTCAGCTCTTCCTCCGGCTGCCAGTGACCCAATTCGACATTAAATGAACATGAAAGTAGGATGGAGGTGGTTGCACTTTGTGCTGTGTCTGATCTTATGAGGATGATTAGATGTGTATCAGCGAGGACCTTCTAGATGCACCACTTTGTGTGTAGAAAGGTCGCTAACATGTACTAAAACATATCAAAGAGTGATGATCAAAGAGTGCCTCTGCTTGCAACAAGAACAGTAGATTCTTCTGTTTCAGGTGAGAACACACACCTCACATCAACACGACTTCTCCTTTCTGCAAAAAGTAGCATATAAAAAATGTTTTGCTGGTTCAACTCACTTCTTCAAAAAGCCTGATATATGGAACAGATATGACATTTGTTGATATCTCTGGTTTCAGACTTTTCACTTCTCAAAAATCACTAAGACAAATGAATGTGTAGATGTGCTTGTGGCCGATGAGGAAGGTCTCATATATTTGTTTTGGAAGATGACAGATTGAGATAAATATGAGCCTTTTGTTTTGAGACCATTTTGAGAACTGCGTTCTCTGTATCGTTTCAATATTTTACAGGACTGACAGTTCTATAAAGGTTTTCCGCCTGTGAAACAGAAAATTTGATTTAAAAGTTAAATCAAAATAAATAAATAAATAAATTTAAAAAGCAATCGATCTTTGGGGGTTTAAAACGGGCCACAGTGAATCTTCAACATTCATCAGTACAGTTTTAAAATGTATCACAAGTACAATGTCAAGGCCTAATCATTAAATAAGACTTTTAGAGGCTGCTGAATGAATGATACATAGACACCTAAAAAACATGTTCGCAGTGACCAAACTGAAAAAAAGTTTGAAAACGTTTCATTTTGCGAATATTCATGCTCATATCTTCCATTCAGAACATACGCACCTCGAAGATCGACATCTCAGGAAATTCCATTATCCTCCGTGTCCCTCGCCGTCAAGTCAGCAGAGAGTGAACGCGCTTCCTCCCGGGTGTCAAAGCTGAGAAGAGTGAGTTCTGTGTGACAAATGCTGAGTGGTTCAAATATCAGAAGAAGAAGAAGTCAAAACCTCACATCCTCACAGGCTGTGTGTGATTAAGGTGTATCACTGAGCCTCACCTGCAGGGACACCCCCACGCCTTTACAGCCAGCGCTTTGATTTATTACTAGTTTGTTGGATTCATTCATTTCCCCCAGTTGATCAGAGAGTCGACTTGAAGTTCATGCTTTAAAAACCAAAGGGTTGTTTTTTGTGAGCTACTATGGCATCTGATTTTTGATCAAAATGAAGAAATAAAGTCACTTTTTAAAGACACAGAAGATTTCTTTTGTATCATTTATGAATTTCCAAATTAGCAGAAGGAAGGGTTGTTTCAAACTAACTGCCCTCAAACATCAGTTTGTTTGAGTCTGTTTTATAAAATGATTATTGTTTTAAGTTCGTCTTAGGTTGTTTTTTAATTTGGTTTCTATAATTAACTGTTATTTTCTTTATTTTTTAAACTTGGATCCAAAATTATAAAGAGCAATTGTCGACCCCCTAATATTTATTTATTTATTGCTCTTAATAATAATAATAATATCATTTCATTGTCATTTTTTTTCTTATCGCATTATTTGTTCCGTGAAATCACATAAAATAATCTACTGTTTTAAAGTTAATTTTGGCGTGTCCATACTGTTTTTAAGCTTTCTTTTGGGGGTTTCTGCTTGTTTTTAAGTTTTTAAGCTTTACATATTTACCATATAATTCTAAACTCTGACTTTATGAATCCTTTATGGATTTGTCGTTTTGGAGCATTACTTGTGATTGATGGTGGTTTGAGAGGAAGTAGCAGTGCTCTGTGGCTTTCCCTCCATATGGCCAGCAGATAGAGCTGATGTCACGTTAGTGGATTGCAGCTAATACAGTTGAGCAGTGGCGGCTGGCGGATTATTTTTTTAGCAGGGCCAGCCAATCGGTTTCAGTAAACATCCCAGTATGATTCATTGCACAAAATGGTATGGTTGGTATTTATATATAAAATAAATAAAACAATATTCAGAATATAACTACCATATCGTAAATATTATAAACATCCAATATAAAAATCATAATATAAATTAAGATATAAATATATTTATTTAAAATCTACTAAAACATGTATATGTATATATATATATATATATATATATATATATATATATATATATATATATATATATATATATATATATATATATATATATTTATATATATGTGTTGCCACCTGTCCCTTAAAATACGAAATCGTATTTGAGAATAAAGAGCTTCCGTTTTGAATCAATACGGGCGGGGTTTGTCCCGTATTTTCCGAGTTGTCTTCTATGCAGCGTCCCGTGCAAATAATCCCACCCCCATTCTGCGAAGCCTCGTTCTATTCGGCCCCTGATTGGGTAATACTCGCTGTCATCGTTGGTTTGATTGGCCGTGAACCTGACATAAACCAATCAGAGTCAGAGGAGGGCGGGTCTCTTGGCGGAGTGTCGATTTGAAAGAATGGCGGCGGCAGCTCCCGAAAGCCCAGCGCGTCCAGCTCTGAAGAGGAAAGACCAACTCTTAAGCCCCACTAAACTTTACACAATTAACTATTTTGGATACAATGTGGCTGTTTTCATCCACGTCGTGGTTGTGTGTCGTCACTGCAGCCCTTGGTGCGTCGTCAAAGACCCGTTTAGCCGCGATGGCGTCCTGTACGAGCGCTACAGATGCTGAGGACAAGGAATCATTTATTTACAAGAAGATGCACGTCACGTGATTGTCACATGAACACCACACGCTGCAGCCGAGCGTCCACTGTCCCGCAGTCTGTCTCACACTGTCGTTTACAGTCTGTACACATGTGACATCCTCTGTCCAGAAACCCTCACATCGGCACAGGAAAAACTCCCAAACAATGAAAAAGCATTTAATGGGGAGAATAAAGAAGAAACCTTTAACGATCCTCCCTGGGAGGAGAGACTGCGATGGACGTACAGAATGAACAACTTAAATATGTATAATACGTTAAATTCATCCGACAGAAATGATTCAGATGAACATTATCTCATCATATGTGTTCGTTATCATTTCCTGCTCGTCAGCGGAGGAAAAAGACGCTATAATGTTAAAAAATCCTGGTTTCGGTGATCGACTCTTCCGCCTTCTGACGTCAGACGATTATCCTGATGATTGACATCTGGTTCAAACTAACGAGACGGTTTGAGCGCCGATCCGCCTTCGGACATTTGATCGATTTAGTCGAACCTCGTACGAGGAACAGGGCCCTGGTTTCCCTCCGCGTGCTGCGTGTTTGTGTTCACTCCACAGCACCAGATGTGTCCGCTCTGTTCCCTGATTCGTCACACATTCACAAACATGTTGCCGAAAATCTTCTTCGAACCCAACTGAAAAGCATGAATTTTGCGCGTGTGTCTTAATGTATAAATATCACCGGGTATATAATCCACGTTTCAAAAACACAAATATTGACTATTTGTCAAATGTATTTCTAATATAATAAATAGAGTCCATTAATAGCGTCCGTAGAGGGCACCAGCCGCCACTGCATTAGAGGCTGATGCACGTAGAATAGATGATAAACACCTTTCACGTGTATGTGGACAAACTGCCACCTTCTACATGTATTATCAAGGCATCACTTACAAGGACAAGGTGGAATGTCAAACCATGTCAACTGAGCTTTTATTTATTGGACCGATCATCTTCTGGGCCTTATTTTCATGAGGCTCTCCACACTTTTAACAACTTAGAACTTGAGGTAAAACAGTAATTATCATGAAAGACAACTGGCAGTTCAATTCCTTTTATAAATTTAGAGCCAAACACATACCTCGAGGGTATAGAGATTAAAGGCTAAATGGAGGTTTGAATTAAGGTGAGACTAAATTGGACAGGGGGCGTTGAGAAATTCAAGAGCCTGCTGAATCATTCAAGAAGGTGCTGGGGAAAGTTTTGCTTTCAAAATAAAAGCTTTATTGTGGCGACTCCTTAAATTACATTACATTACACTTAAATGTGTCCGCTGCCTTGTGTGTGAGATAATACAGCGCAGTGTCAGTCAAAAAAGGCAATCTAGTGGTTTTGTGGACATGCACACAAATCATTTTTTTCAGGGCCCTCAGCACCATAACAATACCAATAAAAAGTCAATTATCGTTGATAGTGGACAGACAAATTAAAGTCCATGTGACTGTCGAAGCTATATGTAGTGTTTAATATCCAAAAGGATCGTATATGGTGGGTGGTCATCTTCAACTAACAGAACTTCCAACTGGAGGACTGGTTGTGGATTCATTGTATAACTATAACACCTAATTCAAGCCCAACCATAAGGTTTTTCCCCAACCTAACTAAGGGTTTTCTTTTCTTAACCTTACTTTTATTCAAATGTAATGTTGTTCCGGGGAACACAAAAAATACAATAAAATGTGTGTTCATGTAATCAAAAGCAACAGATTTCACCACCATGAGACTGTGATGGATAATAGGACAGCTCATATCAATATTTAGCTGATGCTGTAGTTAAGTGTACACTTCTGATGCACAGTTACTGAGAACACAGAGAAGTTATTGGGCTGTAAAAACATTCTTAAACTGGGACCGGGTCACATTTTAGTTGAGGTTGGTTTAAATGTGTTCCCATCGCCTACAGGAGGACAGGAGAAGCATGCTCCGAGGTCCTGGACAATCAGTGGACAAAAAATTAGTCAAATTGAAAATGGAAAGGAGTACATTGGGTGTTTGGAAAGAACACAAGTTGACCATGAAAACCACAATCCAAATCCACATTTGCATCACCTTTAACTTGCACGGTTGTGACAGATCTGCAATATATAAATATATAAATATATATATATATATGTATATTGTATACTTATGGGCTTATTTGTGTATATATATATCAGTACACGCTTGGATAATATTTTATTGTGAAGGTGTCAGACGGAAGCTGATTGACACTCCTCCTAATGATCCCCAGGTGTGCAGCCTGGCCGGAACTCGCTCCGCAGGTTGCCCCGGTGACCCCTCCTCCTCGCGCAGAGCAGGAGGAGCGCTCGCGCGTTGACATTCCCGCCTCGCATCTCGTGAACAAGCACCCCGGTTTCAAGGCGCCATGAGTAAGTCTGGCGCACAGGGAGTAAAGCGCCTGTTTAGAATAAAATCACACGACAAAGAGAGCAAGGAGCGAAAACCGTCAAATGAAGCCGCGACCAGCCCCCGGGACAAGTCGGGCACCCTACCGGCGAGCCCCGGTCCCCTCAGCCCGGGACGCATCTCCCCATCGGACGGGGACGTTCCACCCGCCGCCCAGAGAGAGAAGAAGGGAGGCCGGCTGCTGTCGTTCAGGCTGAAACGGAAGAAGTCCAAGCGCAAAGATAAAGAAGAAGAAGCAGCAGGAGGAGGAGAGGTCTTCTTCCCTGATGAGCTGGACAGCTTCGACAGTCACTTGTAAGTCCACAAGTTCAATCATGTTTCCCTCTACTATTTATTGCCTTTTGTGCTGAAATTACATATTGAAAAGAGCAGATGATTACCGTTCAAAGTATCAGCTCATGCAGTCTTTAACTGGCACAAAGTTTTAAATGACTACACCAAAGATAAAGACCACAGTCTCCATTTCTACTACTGGAGAGCGCCTGTCATTGGAGAACCTCGTGCATGTGTAGAAACATGTCACGCAGCGACGGTTGGCCCCTCCGGCTCTTTGGAAATGTCCCCACAGAGACAGCCTGTCCTCGCCGCCTTTAGACGTTTCACTGTACACACAATGGTGTGTGGGAAGTCGTGCAACGTAAAAGCAGACCGACCACGTTGTGTCCTGCACATCCACAATGAGTCACTCCTCCCTGGATGGATGAGAGACATAGAGGACTCACTGGTTAACCTCCAGCAGTCACAGTAATGACTGACTTCCCCAACGCTTTATTTAGACCAGATGCATTTCCAGTTCTTTTGAAAAGCTTCGTTGGCTCATGTTTGCTCGGCAGCCGAGCGTTACGGGGCGAGAGCCTCTGACTCCGGTGTTATTGTCACATGCAGACGTGTGAACACGCACCGACACACGCTGTTATTGTTGTTGTACGTTGTTGGTATTCGGAGGACGAACCTGCCCTGCAGGTATCTGGCGTGTCCCGGTTAAGCACGATTCCGCGTGGCGCTTGTTGCGTCTCAGCTGGACGGAGCGGAGGTCACAGTGGGGACAATGCGTAAATAAAAGCAACCTGTCACGTGACTCGTGTGATGTCTGGTGCGCAATTAGTTATGACAAGGCTCAATGGGGTTAAATGTCTCTTTGTGAGTTCTCTGCTTGCTGATCATCGCATCGGTTCTGGGCTTTGGGGTCAGACCTGCTCTGCACCTCACACGTGGAACCTTCATGTGCAATTCCGCATCTCTTGACGGCAAATTTGATTTATTTTGTGGCCTCTTTCTCGTGCTTGATATAGAATAGAAGGCGTATAATTGTTAGTTAGTTAAAGGTGGGGCTTCTGACCAGCACTTTAAATCCTAGATTTTTGCCAGAGGTGAAACAATGTAGAGCAATCTGATTAGTGTAATCTATTTATTGATTTTCAATAATGCTGGAAGGTTCCTTTCCAGCTGGCTTCTTCCGATGGCCTCGCTGGTATCTTCAAACTCTGCCTTAATTTTGATACCAAACCTTCCCTGTTTCTGGCACAAGGGGAGAATTGTTACTCAACATTTCAACTCACTTAACAAAGACTGTGTCAAAAAGTTATTTTTTTTATCCCCAAGGTCCTATGCGAGTGTTGCAACCTGCTGCACCCCGTCTTTTGCTTCAAGAACATTACACACACACACACACACACACACACACACACACACACACACACACACACACACAGCTTGATACAACGCCTTTTCTGTTTTGCTGACTGAGATGAGATGACTTTGGCCGGAGGGTTGTGCTGGAGTCTGGTCAGTATGACGGGGCTGGATTATGTCACAGCGCTTTAGAATGGCCTTACTATGCGAGTCGCTGGAGTTGGACCTGTAAGTTTCTACTTGAAATCAATATTTTGCCATAAAACACCAAAGCAATCAATTGTGGAGTATTTGAACGTCACTCATGGAGCTTTCCAAAGCGATCTTACTTAACAGAAAGATAAGCCCGTCACACCCTTCTGCAGATTCCTGCTATGTAGACGATCCCCAAGGCGAGGGTGTGGAGTTTGAAACATTTTTGTGCACTTGTGATCCCAGAGCAGTTCAGAAATTGGCAAATAACTCCTCCGTCATGCGTCCCCATAACTCGCTCTGCCGTTGTATTAAACACATATTCTGTTCATGGATGATCGTGACCCAGGTTTGTCTTGTGTAGTCCAATAGGTCAGAGGTTGCGTTCAGCAAAAACGTTCCTTTCTTTAACTAGTGGCTCAATGAAAGTCAAACTCATTCGTCTCGTGTCAAGTGGAGTTGGCCTGCATGGTTTCCGATGTGTCTGTGAATGAATGCATGATCTATAAGCGTGTTCTGTACATTTCTTATAAACAAGTTGAATTTTTCCCATTTTGTTGGGTCAGATGACTCTATTGAAATATGGTCCACATGTTGTAGGAGCACCAAGACGATTTCAAGGCTTTCTGTAATGAGATCAGTGTTTGCCCGACCATTATATTGGGGCAGCACCCCCCCACACCCCTCTTTTTATTTTCTATTTAGTGCCAAATCACAACAGAAGTCATCCAGAGTTACCTTCACTATGGAACTGGTCTATCTAGACCATGTTCCTTTATGGAATGTTAGTTATCTTCAGTCATTTCCATCGCTACATGATCAGGAATCAGGAAACGTATCTCCTCTGCTCTCTGTGTCGTGCACTGGAATGAGTTGAGACCCAACCTACTGACAGATAAGAGCCAAAAGCTCTTATCTTCAGAGGCCCGGGGGGGATTGGGAAGTGAAACCTGTTGCGTTTCAGGAAGGTATACATTGTTCACATGACAACAGACGTGCACATCTTAAACTAGCATCGGAGCAAATATGTGGCCGTGACGTTGGACCCGCTGGAGGCAGGAGGGTACGGGAGAACCTGAACCAGGGCTGAGCGTGCCGCTCCGACGGACCCCTGCTGCAGTCAAAAGGGACTCTGGGTTCTAGAGGGACGGGCAAAGTCCACAAAAAGGGATGTTCTTTGTTGCAGCTTTAAGTAATAAATAAGATCCTAATATAAGACGACTGATCCATCTGTTGCCATTGGAGACGTCATTAAAACCCTAACTCAACTTTTTTCAGGACCTCGCGGTGAAACACTCCACTTCTCTGAGGCGGAAGATGAGCGATCGATAATATAGATGTTTCATGTATCCAACAAGCATCACTCAGGAACGATTAGTGGAGGAGTGTACATGATAATTATGTTTAACACAGTGTCATTAGTTTATCTGGTCCTTGTGCACACATGTGTTTATAAATGCACGTGTCTTTCAACCGGTAATACGACTGATACCAGATACATGATTCATAACAAACAAACCCCAAAAGCAAACAGGATGAAATATCTCATAACAATAATCTGTTAAAATGTTATAGGGTGTTGTGGAGCTTCTAATAATGACCCGAACACGTCTTGTATTGAACGGTAACTTTTTACGGTCTAAAACAGTGCGCAGAAGGAGCTCTCAAATACAGGTTCACATGTTATAGTTTACGTCAAGCGTCATGCTACTTCCTGTTTTTCACAAAATAAAAGCACTTTCTGTTAAGTACGCTATTCAAAATAAGCTGTTACAGAAGCAGCATTAACTACATTTCTCTTGGAATCAAACAAATAAACAATTTACACCATAGGGTTACTGGCTACACACAATCATACTGTATATAAAGAATTGTTATCCCGCAAACTGTCAAGTAGTTACTGAATATGATTGAGAAATAGATATGCTGGCTTCTGGCGGTATCCCAGTATATCGAGGTATTTCAATTTTTCCAAGTAAAAACATTCATTCATTGACTCTGAAAAGGACCGCCGGCCACCTGAACGGCTGTTCACCGCTGCCGGGTGAGTTAGCACGTCATCGTGTTTTCACCAGAGGCTCGACCTCCTTTGCAATGAATCGTTTTCTGATCTAACTCACAAGAACCCTTTCAAACCGCACACAGCTCCACTCTTGGGCACAAGATGTGTTGGTGCATCTCTGGTATCTCGTTGGTCCTCCGCCATCGCTCTTTTATGTGTTTTTATGAGTTTATTGTGATAGCGGGCGAGCTGTAATCTCAATACACTTAAAACAAGCAGCTCCGCCCGCTTGCGTCTGGCGAAGAGGTGTAAAAGAAATCCTCCTGCCTGCCGGAGAGCTTCGGCGGTTTTTGCGACTCGACACCGGTATGACGGCACGGGAAGAATTCATACCGTAAGGACATTTTATACCTGTTGAAACGGTATAGCGCACAGTCCTACTTCAGAGGCCACCCAGCGCCAAGCCAACGGTGGGGAAAAGGTTGGCCGTCAGTCGGGTGCCAAGACATTATGGTTATACACAGCGTCCGTATGGAGACACACGCGCACACAGAGCGGCTGTTACAGAGCGGCTGTTACAGAGCGGCGGTTTGTGGCGTTCTTCACGTCTCAACAGATCTCCCGGTCCAGCCCGCCGACGGCTCTGCTCCTTCTTGTCCTTCCACAGGAATGCAGTTATCCAGAACAGCTTTTCACTAGAAGCTCATCACATGATAATTAATGACGCTTTATAGCAGCTCTTTGAGCAACTCTGCCCAACTTTTAGTTATTGCCTTCCTAGAAAAAGAGGGACATGACGTCTATTCTATTGTATTCTGTGACGCGGGGGGCGACCCACCGCAGGTCCAGATGTCCACATGTGTTCAGGATCCTAGCTAGGGACCACGGCGGAGGGCCACACACACTTTAAGGAAGTCGCTCCAGGGAGCGGCTCATGACATTTTTTGTTTTTTGTTTTTACTTTTACTGTTTTTACAGTTAATAATTACTGAATAGCTGATGGAGGTAAAATAGAACGTCATCGTGCACCTGCACCTGGAATGCCCATTTTCATTCCCCACATAACTTGAGTGAGTGACAGCAGAAGCCCTTGATGACTGGTTGACTTTGCAGAGGCTGTCACCTGTGTCATTTGCTTTAATGAAGCGAATACTTCTTTTCAGCCTCTGTGATGCAGTTCAGTAAGTTTGCATTTTCCTGGGAACTGTCACATCTGTCAGCGGGGGGGGAGAAGGAGGCGTGTTTCACCCGTGAATAATGTGCTGCAACGGATTATTAAAGAGAGTAGTTGGAAGATACATTTGCTTCTGTTGCCAAACTGTACGAGGTCAGCAGCCAAATCTGAACCGACAAACCGGAAACACGTTTTTTGGATTTGGTGTAATCTGCAGGGTATCATCCTCTATCAGTCCATTAACCCTCCTTTAGAATCAACACTTTTTGAAGATGTCTTTAGGACCAAGGTAAT